TGCAGTCGTCGCCACCCACCACAACCTCTACCACAAGAACCACCACCACCATTATTGTCACCACCACACCACCACCATCACTACTATCACACCACCCCCACTATCCCCATCACCACCTCCACCACCACTACCACAACCACCACCGCCACCCCACACCACCACCACCTTTGTCAGAACCACCAACGCTCCACCACCACCATTGCCGCCACCACCCACCACCGTCTTCGTCACCCCCTACCACCACCAGTCACTACCATCCGTCGTCTCTCACCGTTGTCGTCAGCCATTGTCATCCACCCCTACCACCCATCATCGTCCACCACTGCCGCCACCCACTATTACCCACCCTTACCACACATACCACCCATCACACTATCATCAAAAAGCCTCTGTTGTCACCCACCACCACCATTGTCATTGTTCACTATTGTCATCGTTGTCGCCCCACCACCACCACTGTCAACTACCATCATCGTTGTCCACCACCACCCACACCCACCACCACAACTACCATCACTCATGTCTTCCACTACTACCATCGTCACTCAAAACCCACCACCACCATCACCGTTGCAACCCACGGCTGTCACAACCATCATTGTCATCATCACCCACTACAATCATCTTTGTTTCCCACCACCATCACTGCTCATCCCCAGTACAACCAGTGTTTAAATTTCTTTATCTACTTTTTTTTTGTAATTTAATTTTAAATTTAAATACAAATATGTTTATTATTGATCATTTTTTTTTATTATTTTGTATCTTCATACACGAAAAATAATTAGTACATTGATATTCCAACATTGAGATCACTTCAAAAATGAGAAATTTTGAGAATTTCAAAGAACTTGTCATCAAGCATAGAAGGTGAAATGGTCAAACATGTAACATAAAAAGAGTGATATAATATATGACAAACTAAAATGATATATATATAGCTTTTCTTTCATATATTCTAACAAGCAATGTCACAACAAACAAAACCAAAGAACCCCCTCACCTCCTCAACTTTCTTCAAATTCCCCAAATCCATAGAGTTTTTGTGTCAAAGACGGTCATATAAAAAAAAAGGCAGATAGAACAACAGTTGTGTAGCTTACCGAACCATGGTTTACAATAAGGGGATTCAAGCTAAAATTTAACACACTATAGGGATCAATCTAAGGTCGATGAGGTTCTTCTACCTTCACCTTGCGCAAATGACACACCGGCTCACCATCACACCTTCGTTTAGAGGGTGTCCTCGTTCTCTTCTTCTTTACTGGTTGATTTACAAGTTTAAGATCAGGAGACACCATATAGGGGGTTGAGAGGCCCGGCCCACCAAGCTGCAGTTCTATGTTCTCATCTGGACCTGCCCATGCTATTGGATTGACTACAAACAGATAAAAACATTGTCCTTAGTCAAGGAGCAAGTATCATTCGCTTCCAATACAAATAATCAGAAGTGTGTTACACATGGACTGCACATAGAGGTATCAGTATATAAACAAGACTGACATCAGATCAACCAAATTCAACATCTAGTGGAGCTAATGTTGAATCAAAATGCATATCCTTGACTATATTTCTGCTAAACTAAGAAAAGCGGTTTTTGGACCACAGAAATCAGTGTAAAAGCAGAAATGAATGAAGACTGGGCAGATGAAAATATCAATCAATCCGATGCTTGTGTTGCACTGGTAAACTCAATTGTGAAAAAAGTAGACTTAATTGCTTGAAAAAAAATTTGTTGCCCAAAAATACTAGAGAAGTTTATGTTCTGACAAAATGGGTTCACTAGTTGATACAAAAAAATATATATATATATTAAGATCAAGGATGGCAAAACATATTAAGATTCGAGACAAAATAATAGAAAAAACAATTTATATTTAGCTTAAACAAAATCTAAACAAAAAAGACACAAGGCTTTGCCTTAGTACATTTCAATTCAATCATATATTAAAGTGAAACAAGGTTCTTTAAAATTGCTAAAGTTACCCAAATTGATTAATTGTAAAAGCTAAATCTCTCGCTAATTTTCTTCCAATGTACACATCACATAGGCCGTAACAAAATCATTCTCCATGTAGTTGCAAAACCTGGTCGCGATCATTCTCGATCTTCTTGAGAAATTGATTATTTAGAAATAACATAAAAAGCTTTTGGGACACCATCTTTCTTTTGCATCCAAATGTATTTAATGAGTTATAGACTATAAACTTACTGAAAAATGGTAAATGACAACTACCCAATTGTTTCTAAACAATAGGTAACAGTTTGATAGAAGAGAAGTATTGTCTTTTGGTCAATATATAAGTAAATCAGGACATGTGACATCTAGTTTACTCCATCCATAAATAAAACTTTTTTTTTGGGACCAATCGGCCACCAATTTATTGAAAATGGAAAAAAAAAAAAAAAAAGAAAGAAACTAGGACCATTATAGAAATTTTCTGATAATTAGGAGGCCAAAGGTAGAAAATTGAGTCAAATATGGTTCCTTATTGAATTTGATCCAAAGGGAAGAAGGGAGGAATTTTTTTTTTTTGGGGTGGAGGGAACGAGTCCCAGCATGTTTCCTTCAGTCTACATTTGGGACAAATTTTAAATGACAACAACAAACAAGGCCAATACCCTCAAGTAATAACTAAGCCAGTCAGAGAATCGATAAAATAATCAAGCCACTGATCACTGAAAATTAAAAAAATTGTCTAGAAANAGTCCCAGCATGTTTCCGTCAGTCTACATTTGGGACAAATTTTAAATGACAACAACAAACAAGGCCAATACCCTCAAGTAATAACTAAGCCAGTCAGAGAATCGATAAAATAATCAAGCCACTGATCACTGAAAATTAAAAAAATTGTCTAGAAATACGTCACAGGATACAAGCAAGGGTAAACTTGCCCAATTGGCACAAAAAACACAATACACTAATTTTTAATGCCATCAAATAAAAAATTTAAAAAAAAACCAAATAAATTCAAACCTCTTATTTATATGTCCCTATGGAAGGCTTTCAGTTGTACAGAAACTNTAAACTTGCCCAATTGGCACAAAAAACACAATACACTAATTTTTAATGCCATCAAATAAAAAATTTAAAAAAAAACCAAATAAATTCAAACCTCTTATTTATATGTCCCTATGGAAGGCTTTCAGTTGTACAGAAACTTATCAATCTCAAGGGTGGAAAGTTTTCCTCTGTCAGGCTTGTGAAAACTAGTTTCAACTATACTCCTTTACAAAAAAGTAAGTACCCCATTCAAGCACATTTTGTTTTCAAGACCAGTTNGTCAGGCTTGTGAAAACTAGTTTCAACTATACTCCTTTACAAAAAAGTAAGTACCCCATTCAAGCACATTTTGTTTTCAAGACCAGTTTTTTCACATACCTTCGGAAGGTTCAAGAGACCCTGGCATCCCAAGACGACTCGCATCGTGTACGGTCGCAAAGCGAGCAGGACGCTTCCTGACATAGTTTTCCTGCAAAGGTCTTGGAATTTGAAATGAAAATTGTGACATACTCACCCCTTCTTTTATGTAATCTGGATGATCGTCCAAGTACCTGACAATAGAAAACATTGTGAAAAACTATAAACCAAGTATAAAGCATCCTAATGTGTACATGTCCTCCAGTTATTAGCTCAAATACTAAAAGGAAGTGAAAAGGAGAATCAATGCAACATTGAAATGACAAATGGGAAGAACCTACTTTTGAATTTCAACCATGGAGCGAAGTCTCTTGCCTGATGGTGCAACATAATACCTAAAATCCATAACACACGTGAATCACATACCAGTGACAATTACTAATGGACGCAATATGTCCGCAATTGCTTAAAGAACTTGAATTACCATGTGCAACTTAAAAGCACTAATGAACAATGAAGTAGAGAAACAAGTGGAAAAGAGCACATACACATCTGCAAACTTGGTGCTTCCTTCACCTCTGATCCTTAAAAGCCGTTGCCACCCAGGAGGGGGCTGAGCAATGTTGGGCTTATCAATTGCCCAAAGCCTGCTCCCATCTTGAAAGATGTCAGCTGGATCATCACATGATATCTCAGGCCTCCACTCACGAGCTGTTTCGCATACAAAGGGCTGCTCTATAATGTGTTCACGTATTTCCTCATACTTCTCTTTTGTCGGGATGAGCCTCCATTTAAAACAGTGGGCACATTGCACAGTAAAAGCCCCCACAGATGGCAAAACTCTGGATGTTGAGTATCTCAGGAAACGCAGAGATTGATGTCCGGTATGATAAGGGGCAGCTTCAATTTCACCTGCACCATTAGCAGCAGGATCATACACCACCAACTGGTTCTGAGCATTTTCAGAGTATTGATTATCTCCATCCTCCATGCCATGGTCCTCTTCCAAAGAAGTTACATCAATCTGTTCCTGAGGAGCGCTTTCCAGGTGCCCAGTGAAAGCAGAATCATTTAAAGCATTGTTTCCCATTTTTGAGCTATTTAAGGGACTGTGTAAATCAGAATCATTGATGTCATCCCCTTTCAACTTAATGGTAAGTTTCAAGGGATGTGGCTGCATTTGAGTAGATCTGAATCACCTGAGATAGAGAAATTAATGACCAATGTGTCACCATTTATCCGACAAAACTTCTACAATGATCAAGATATTGAACAATATATTTATTGAACTCATATTTAAGAAATGCAATTTCCAGACTCATTATTACTGTCGTTCCAAGTCAGTACACGTCACCTCGAACACACAAAACAGTCACAGAACATATTAAATTAGAAATTAACCACCACTTCAAGATGAAATCACAAAATTGTATGTCAAGCCTATATCCTTGGTCAAGGAAAAGATGGATTTCAATGCTAAAGAGGAACCCAAGAAGCTACCATAAGTAACATGTTCATAGCGGCGACAGAAATCCAGAAGGACCAGAACTTTGATATATAGCTAAAGACAACCACAAATACTGGAGAAGGAAATAGTGACATATGTAAAATTAAAGAATTTCAAAGAAACTGCCCTAAAGAATTAGATCCAGGTATAGCTTGAAATTCCTTCAATGCATACACCAAAAATTTTCTATGTTTCATCACTGCTCCACAAAAAAAATAAGTTCAACATGTCTACTTCCCAAACTAGGATGGATCAGCAATACACTTCTAAAGATCCTGCAGTTTGAATTTGTCTCTCTTATACGTCATAAACTTGGATATCCCCATAAGCAATCTAGGGTCGCTGGTGACACGTAATAAGCTCTAAAGCAAAATGAATATGCCAGAACCAACCTGGGAAGGAGGGATGGAGCACTAAACAGTAAGAGAAAAGTAAGAGGAAGACCATAAATTTAATTGACTATTCACCTTAGGAAGATGAGGGAAAGACCAACACAAATAGGCCAAAAGATGGAAGATGTTAAATAAGAAGGAACCTAGTCAACCTACCTGAGCTCTCAACTGCTTTGATTATCATCAAAAAGTTTTAAAAATATGCAAGAGAAGAAAATTTCACCTTTAAAGCAGAAAAAGTTTAGCTAAGCTAGTTCTCAAACCTATTGATCATTCAATATGAAAATAGAAAATATAGAAGGTCATTATGCAATTACAATCTAGTCAATCTAGTGTGCTGAGAGAAAATAGGTCTAATCTGTAGCATTATTCGTTCAAAGTGGTTGTTCAAATATTCAAACTCACAACCTCATGGCTTTTTACCCAACATTAAAACTGCACCAGACAATAGATGCACAATAAAAATCACTACAATGGCATTGTCTACTAACAAAAGGTTATATCTAGTTAGGTTCAACTACTCCAACCATCTAGCTAGTCAAATTAGATAAATTGTGATTAAAACTTGAGAGACAAGTAATTCATGCAATTCCAATCATCGTTCAAGTCCTGCAACTCATGTCAACTCAAAGATATGACATTCCTGGACATTTGTCAAGAGTGGATTACATAATGAATCAATTGTGATACTAATACATCATGACGCGAATTTTATCATTTAATCAGTCAATTACAACATACTCCATTGAGTGGAGAAAAATATACCTCAATTATCGAGCTGAATAAGTAGTCCCTAAATTGCCTACACACCACGGTTGAGAATAGCCCCTCACCATCGTCCCCGAATTCAAGTACAATGATCTTTGAACAAAATATTCATAATCATATCATTTTATTTGTTTGGAACCCAACATATTTTTATAAGTAAAGATAATTGTCCTCAACATTGAAACTCCATTGTCGATTATCTTCTATCATACAATACTTCTTTTACTTTTAAAAAGGAAAATTCTGAATACTATAGTTATATGGATTTATTTTTCATCTTTATGGCGTATAAAAATTCAGCCCCACAAAGACAAGCCATCAAGGAAACACAACAATTAAAACACTGCTCTTAGTTTGTAGAACTAAAATTCCTGCTGCAGAGCATTCTCCAACGACTCTATGGATATCCAATCAGGATTATGCAATTTGGGATCATAACGTAGAAAGCTCATAATAAATTAGTCTCATGAAGAACCTGTATCTCTGGATGCAACTTTTAAGTAAAATACCTTCGTAAACCTCATCAAATGGTATACTCTACTATATACCTGGCCGTTAGTCGTAACAAACATGAAATTGTTTGAAGAGACTCTTTCTAGGATAGGAGTAAGAGATTCAAGCATCATTTAGTGTACTACATCAGAAGGGAGTCACTCTTTGAAGATTAATAAGGAAAGGAATTCATGGCCGCCTGACATCGCTATTGATGACAACCAAATATGGCACTAAAGGGCAGAAAGGCTTTTTCATTGTTGGGAGTTTTTCATAGAGACATCAAACTTTAAGAAAGCACATGAAATGGAGATCAGATCTCAGAAGACACTTGGAGAGGAGTATAACTAAAGGCAAGATTTAAGCAATAAGATCAGATATCATTTGAGGCAAGGTGTTAGCCTGCGTGAAGAATGTGCTCCTAGCTGAATTATATCTTCTTCTTTTTTTTGATAAGAAACAACACTTTCATTTCTAGCTGAATTATATCTTCATCCTTCATACTAATTAAACTTAAAGCAAATTAGTTCTATCAAACTTGCCAATATCAACTACAAGCACATAAGCCCCACATCAAAAGAATAGTTTCATATCAAGTATTCGCATTCAGGTTTATATAAACACCATAAATAAAAACATGAAAATTCAATATTAGCTCAAGCAACTTCCACCATGAACAACTAAGAGTAGCAAAACCCACTTACATGAGGTCATTTAAGTAGTTCACTTTCTATTAAGGAGGCAATTGCCACCCCAGTGAGCCAATGGCCTAGGCAATGCCTACCCCAAGACGGGTGTTCCTAAGCACCAAGCTAAATATTAGCTTTGCCTTCCTGCCTGACCTAGGTCACCACCCAGCGATTTTGACAACACCGACACAGAAATAATCCTACACAATGCCACACTAGCAATTCTAATAGAGGGCAAGTAGTCAAAGGAATAGAGAAAGGTAACAGACTAATCCCACCATCCTTTCTAGCATCTACGGAGGCTCAAGCTTGAGTCTGGCCAGTGGATATATCCTTCAGAACAAGAACATCCTTTCTCCCATGACGCAAAAGAACATACATATGAACAGTATTAGCTCCTTTGCATGTAGCTTTTCTGAATGTGGCTTTAGCATAATAAAAAAAGAATCCCTACATGTAAAGCCTGAGTTCTTTTTGAAGTGCATCAAGACTTTTGACAGGAAAACAAATGGATTCTCCCAGGCCGAACAAACTTGGAAGTATGTCATGTTTCATCCCATGAAAATAGGGAGAGGGAGAACATTTTCTAGGATTCAATGTGTTCTGCTGTACAATTACAATTAGGTAAAGTGTGCAAGTCCATCCAATCATTATGCTGAAAAAAATCCAAATCAAATATTATGTCATTTTTGGTTTGTATGACCTACGGTTGGAGAATGAGTAAAGTGAACCGCTATTCACGTGTAGTTACTAGATTACAAGAATGGACATTTATTAAATTCTAGGTTCGTTGGTTATTAGTGGATCATGATACCATGTGGCAGTGCCAACATGGGATCACCATTCCATTTAAGATTCACTCCCATGTTTGGTGCATCTAATTTCAAATAAGATATTAATTACAACACTACCAGACATAGACAATTTGTAAAGGATGTTACCATTGGTGATGAATATTATTTCGCGATGTTAGCGGTACAATTTTGCTATAAGCACAAGTATTTGTGACGGATGTTGCAATATTGCACTCGCCCGCAACATTTGGAAATAAATAGCGGTAGTCCATTCCATAAGGAAGTAATTAAATTCTTTATCCCCTTCCATCATCAAGTGCATTAACTGATTTTGTGATCTTTTTATTTTTCTTCAATTCTAAAACAACCCTTTACAAGTAAGTTCTTTGTTTTTTTTCTTTTTTTTTTTTGGGTTCTCATACGTTGGTTTCAATACCTTCTATATGGCACTTCCATAGATATACTCATCACCTTTATTTCATAAGTTTAAGTAATTTTCTTTTTTTGCCACAAAATATGATGCATCTAATTAGCAACAAAAAAATTCTGATGAAAATGTTCTGAGGAAAAAAAAAAATCTCTAAAAAATAAGCATTCTACATTACAAATGCACCTAAGGATGTTAAACGAGCCGAGCTTGGGCAAGTCATGGTATGCTCAGGCTAAGCTCGTAATTTTTGAGGTCTACTCAAGCTTGGCTCAGGCACAGATGTCGAGCTTAAAATTTTGTTCAGGCTCTAAACTCGTTTATTAGTGCGAGCTCGAACCTAAACTTAGGCTCAAACTCAAAGCTCGGAACCTGTTATTATCTCAACTCTCAATCAAGACTCAAACACCACAGATTCAACAAGAGAACATATTATATATAGAGAAATTGTAATTTTTGTTAGTCATGTGATCACAGATCAGTCAACAGTCGATGGTTGGGATTTGGAATTTGTGTGTGAGTTGTTGATAGCTAAGAGGTATAATAATTAAATAGATTTAATGAGAAAATAGTAACGAGCTTATGTGATCCAACTGAATACCTCAAACTTGGCTTGTATACAAAACGAGCCTAAAGTTCCTTTTATGCTCAACTTGTATTGGAAATTGAACGACGTTAAGCGAGCCAAAAAATGATCCTGATTTGAGCCCAAGCCAGCTCGTTTCATTTAACACCCCTACATGCACCAGAAGTAAAAACCATATTGCATGCAAGATTTAAAGCTACACAAATACTTCATTACAGGAAGTCCGAACCAGGTGTAAAATACCGAACCCTTTTAGCCGCAAAACCTAAGAACTTTATTTTCATCCAACTCATTTGACTACCATGCAAGAATTAGTGTCCAGTAGAGATGGTCCCATGTTAATTACTTCGAAAAATAGTAACACAACTTATCAAACAATGAACATCCCAACAAAATACATACTTGAACACATTCATATATACATGCATGTATCTATACATACAAAAACACCACAACCCTAAAAAGATCGTTCTAATAATAAAGGAATAGAAATGAAACTCAAAATTTAGATATAACAAGAACATT